AAAGAAATGCAGAAGTTAAAACAAATGGACACTTTAACGGAGGTATCTGTAGCAGGAAGCATGACGAAGAAACCAGACAGTCTTGCCGACAGCAACTCAATGTCGATCCAGCAAGAGAATGTCACACTGCATTACACACTGGCACTGGAAGCCCTCGACGAAGCCATGCAACTCATTAAAACACTACTCTACGACCAATCTAAAGTTGTTTCCAAAAATGAGAGTCATCAGCAACCAGTCAACGTTTCGCGGGCGCTCCTCATTCTCACCTGCATTCAATGCTGCAACCACGCATCCGCCTGCGCCTTGCGACTGTCCCAATGGCAAGTCGCTGTGTCACATGCCATGCAGGCACTGACGCTACTGCAGCGAATGAAGGAAAGTAGCAGCAAAACGAAGCTCAGCGCACGCAACACAAAGGCTACCGCTGCCGGCGACTTGAAGCTCTTTGGCATTGTTCGTGTGCAGTCGCTCAAGCGAGTCGCCCGCGCCATGGTGGCGCTGCGGCAAAAGCAAACCGCCGTGCAGCTGCTCGAGTCGGCGTTGGAAACGTGTTTGGAATACGAGGGGCGACAAATTAAGAAGCAGTGGTACAGCTGGCACGACATGGAGAAGTTGTCGCGCCAACGAAACATTGTGCGGCGCATGCTGCAAAAATTGGTGCCTCCGCCGCGTGTGTCTAAAACCAAGAAGAATGTTAATGTTCCCGTCGTAAACGTTATTGTGGATGACGACCAGTTGCGTCGCAACAGCAGCAGTAGCAGCAAGAGCAATGTGCGTGGATTGTCACTCATGAGTGGAAAAGTTCGCGATGTGAATGCTTCAGCCGCTCGGCAAGCTTTGCGTAACGGACAAATCGCGCCAGATCTTGTTGCCGCTGATGATGATGATGATGATGACGACTCCATTCTGTCCATGAGCTCCATGAGTGCGTCGCATGACGATGTCGGGGCGCCAGTGGCAGTGTTGCAAGCGAAAATAGCGGCGACGAATGCTCCGTTGACTCCAGTGACAAAGACGAACGCTGCTCCAGCTGTTGTTACGCCGGAGAGTATCAAATCTGGGCGGGACATGAATGATGACGAGTTTCTTGTCGAGGCAGCTACCAGAACGCAAGCGTCAATTGTCATGCAAAGCCTTGCGCGCGGATACTTGGCCCGTGACTTTGCAAACTTGAAATTGCAACAGAAACAGGAGGAAGAAAATAAACGTCGTAACGAGGCTGCAAGTATGATTCAGCCGTTGGCGCGAGGAAATTGTGTGCGTCGGCACTTCCGTGCCGCAATCCACGAGAAGCGTCTGAAGGAAGCGTCAACAACGACACAAAAAGTTGCGCGAGGTTATCTTGCGCGGCGAGATTATCAAAAGCTTATTCATGATCAGCAGCAAACGCTTATACGTCAAGCGGACGCCACTTTAAAGATTCAAAGCATCGCTAGGCGATTTCTTGCCCAAAACAGATATGACGAGAGATTGCCAAAGCATCACCAACTGGAAACTGTTCGCCAAAGCGTTGCATCGGTGACTATTCAAGCAATTGTTCGAATGTATTTTGCTCAACGAGCCTGCCAAATGATGCAAATGGAAAGAGAGAAAGAGCTAGCACGTCGAATTTATGCATCAATCGTAATTCAGTCGCAGATTCGAAAAAAGTTCGCACACGATAAGTTTCAAACGTTGCGAAGAGAATTGCTGCGAAACCAAGCGGCGCAAAGATTACAAGCAGTCTCTCGAGGACTTTTTGCTCGTGGCCTCTATCGCAAGCGACTGGAAGAGAATCGAATGGGAGCAGCAGCCACTGTCATTCAAGCATGCGCGAGAGGAACGATGCATCGCAATAGGTATAGAAAAATTGTGGAAGATGGGAAGCGCTTAAAAGCATTACAGCATGATGCTTCATCAAGGATACAAATTGCAATTCGACGACACCAAGCGCTCGTGGCGTATCAACAAATCTTAGCTGACAGCCGGAAAAGAGAGGCATCCAGGCAACTTGCGGCGTCAACGAATATTCAGGCGCTTTCTCGAGGCTTCTTATCGCGCAAGTCATATTCGGAAGTTCGTGAGGCAAGGCGGCAGAAGGATGCCGCCTTGCTGCTACAACGAGTTGTACGCCGTCGACTGGCTCTATCGATTTTTAAAAAGCTGGTTAGCGAAAAGCGGCGAATTAAGGACTTGCAACTGAATCATGCTGCAACGGTGATACAATGTGCTAGCCGAACGTCCGTTGCCAAATATAAATTCAAGAAATGTCTCGGTTGCGTAATATTGATTCAATCCCTCGGTCGGCGAATGATGTGTCAGACGCGCTACGGTGAAATGAAACTGGCCGACAGTACTTTAAAGACTACAATCCTTGCTGTAACCAAGATACAGAAGGTTGCTCGGGGACGTCATGCAAGAAATAATTACATTTGCCTGATATTTTCACTTGTAAAGATCCAGTCTGCAGCCCGTTCATTTGCGCACAGCAGACATTTTCAATTGCAGTTGGAAGCCGTCAAAAAGATCCAGAGCTGTTTGCGATGCACACTGGCTCGCCACGAAATGACTCGGAGAAAAGAATCCTTAATTAAGATCCAGTCAGCTGTGCGAATTGCGGTGCTGCAAAGGCAGCGAGTGAAGAAAGAGGGAGCCGCAATAACGCTGCAGACCTTTATGCGATGCCACCTTGCTCTCCACGAACTGACTCGGAGAAGGGATTCGGTCGCTAGATTACAAAGGATGATGCGAACGGCAGCGCAGCGACAGCAGCATCAGAAGCAAGTGAAAGCTGCCAAGAAATTGCAGACTAGCCTTCGATGCACACTTGCTCTCCGCGAACTGACACGCAGAAGGGAATCGGTCGTTAAAATCCAATCCATCTTTCGATCATCCGCGCAGCAGCAACATTTTAAACAGCAAATCAAGGCCACTAAGAGGCTACAGACTAGCTTGAGATGCACACTCGCTCTTCGCGAACTGACGCGGCGAAAGTGCTCTATCATCAAGCTACAGTCAATGGCGCGAGCCACACCGCAGCGAAAAGAGTATGCACGACAACGAGACGCTGCGACGCGACTTCAAACCACCCTCAGATGCGTTCTTGCAGTAAAAGCCCTACAAGTGCGAAAGACTTCAATCGCAAAAATTCAATCTAACATGAAAGCAGCCCTTCAACGAAAGAGTTACATGCACCAAAGAGGGGCTGCGCGAAAGGTGCAAGCTTATGCTCGAATGATCCACGCACAAAAAGAAGTAAAGGTACGAAAAGAACAGATACAGTCCAAGTTAGCAGCCGCTGTAATTCAGAAATCATGGCGGGGCAAAATCATTCGTCGGGAGTTGGCTGAAACGAAGGCGACAGAAGTACCTCATCTTCGAATAACCAACTTTGCAAGTCCAGACAACTCTTCTGTTTCACCTGCACCATCAGTTCGACGCTATACGGACTTTTGGAAAGACAAGGAGGCAAAAGCAGGCTTCAAAGCCATATCCGTCACCGATTGGCAACGAAGTCCGGCAGCATTAGTCGCGAAAGAAGTCAAGTTTGCCAATGTCTCTTGCCCTTCCGTTTACACCGGCGAGATGCACGTCACGACACGAGGAAGGTCGACACCTTCGAGCGCTGTGTCTAGTCCACCCGGCAATGGAGAAGCGGACTGGACGAAGGCAATCGACAATTCGCAACCAGGTAATTCATTTGCCAATTTAAGGGCAATGCACGAGAATTGGTCCGGGAGTGTCTCCGGCGGCGGATCCTTTGCAACCTTGAGTCGCCCACCGCTCGCTAACGCGCCAAATCAGCTTAAAAACGTAAGGAATTCTGTTGAAAGTACAAACGGCGATGGTTCCTCGCATGTGGACAGCCATGGGGTCCTCGTATTTGAGCCAGAGATTTTGGAGAAGGCAGACGTTAATGTCGATTGCACAGGTACCGATGATGAACCATTACTCCACAACGCAGAACCTGATGCGGCAGAAATTGATGATCCAAATCAATTCATGGAAAGTCTCCATGGTGTGGACCTCCTGCCTGTTAATGACTCTTATTTGAACGGGAGTGACCGAGAGAAAATTAACAACTCAGCTGATGCGCCTAACTTAGTCACGCATTCAGCTCCTCTTTTGCCTGCCAAGGAACCGGCAATGGCAGTGCAGATGTTAATGCCACCAGACAATTTTGACGAAGGCGGCGTTGGTAACAAAGTCTCTCCTGTGTGTGCTCCCGACGACTCGTGGCGCGACAAACTCCAAGCTCGAGTCAATAAATTGAGCAGTTCATCATCTGTAACATCAGCAACAAGCAAGTCCAGCAAATATGCTGACGATTCATGGCGCGACAAGATGGAGGTTCATGTCGCTAGTGGTGACGTTTCTTTGGCAAGTAATGCAAGCCGGGCCAGCAGGCTAGCCCATCATGCAATAACACATTCGGATGACACCTGGCGCGACAATTTGAGGGTTTACAGCGCCAGTGCCAACGTATCTGTGGCTAGCATGGGGAGTAGCAATAGTCATCAGGGGCACGCTACAAGTGCTTCACAAAGCACAATACAGACAAACCAAGGTAAGTTTGAATTGACAGCGGCAAGTCAACGAGTGAGACTGCCACCAACAACTAAACTTTTTTCTGGTGCAGGCGCTACATCATCATCAAACCCTAGATGGATCAACAAGAAATCCTTGAAGAAAGCTGCCATTGCCGGCATGGGTGTTGCAAACAAGATTATTGCGCCAAAGCCGTAGGCCTGTTCACCGGATAGTCGACTGCCCTAATGAAATTAGAATGAAGAAGGTTCAAAGCACAATGATATTTGTATCAATTTCCGTAATTAAGCATCACATATGTAACAAATGTAACTGCATATATAATGAGTGCAGACTAAAACTTCACTTCACTGGATTTTGAGACAGCAAGTCTACCTTTGCACGTAGGTGCATAGACACAATGATCGCATGATCTTTTGTCGGTGCTTCGAGATCAAATAATGGATCAAAATGTGTAAAAGGTTAAAGCGCGACTAAGACGGGACTCGAACCCGCAACCTTTGGTTCCGAAGACCAATGCTCTACCATTGAGCCACCCAGTCGTTACTATTATGGTGAAAATTAGATATATAGTCCTTGACAAAATTAATGGCCAGAGGAGTCTCAACGTGACTCGCCACGTCAGCCGCTGCAGCTGGACGATCGCAAAAAAGTTCGGCCATCATCGCCTGCATGCCCAAAAGAGCCTACTTCCTGCCTTGCAACAAGCATCATTGTTGCTCCCATTCGTTGCTCTTGATACACTGGTTAAATTCTTGCTTCAATCTTGATCAAGCGTCGGAATCTTTAGCCACAAATTACAAAGCTTGAAGAATCATCAGAAGCAACTTTCGGAAATCGGAAATAGCCTTGCGACATCCAGTTGGCACTGTTGTTCCGACGATCCCTCAGCAGTAGGAGTATACGACAATTCAAAACATGCTCGTCTCCGCATCGACTCGCTTCGCCTGTGCTGCGAGATGCGCCTCGCATAACTCTGCAATGGGACGCTCACTGACGGCTGCTTTGTCGACAATGGAACCACTTCGAATCAACAACAAGAACACCATGCAAAAGTCATATTCAACAACGAGTTCAGTACACAGCGACTCGTCTACACCTTGCTATTCTGTCATTCCCAAGGATGATCATGGTCCATTCAAGGAGTACAGTGTCATTCACACTGATCGCAGCTTGAACCTCATGAGCGACCCCTTTCAGCGAGTCATGCGCGATTTGAATCAGCTGCTCAAGTATACCTACAAGGCTGATAAAGTAGTCATTTTACCGGGGTAAGTGAATATGATAGTGTTTGTGAAGATGGGTGGAAGAAATGAGAGAAGGTGGAGAGTCAATCTTTGCCTGCCTTGTGACTAGCGAATTGCGAGATGTCTTTCTTCACGATGAACTCTCATTCATGCCTCACTTCTTAACCTTACCACCAGCTCGGGTACATTTGGAATGGAAGCAGTTGCTCGTCAATATGCGACGGATGAACACGTCATGGTCATTCGCAATGGCTGGTTCTCCTATCGATGGACGGAAATTTTGGACCTTGGAAACATTTCCAAGTCTCATTCCGTCCTCATGGCGGTTCCAACGCCCGCCGATAAGTCGTTGCACCAGCATTTCATGCCGCATCCCATTGATCAAGTGGTGGAACGCATCTACGAGGAACGACCAGCGGTGGTGTTTGCGCCTCATGTGGAAACGAGCACCGGCATGATACTTCCGGATGAATACATTGCGAAAGCGGCTGCGGCAGTTCATGCCGTTGGCGGACTGTTTGTTTTGGATTGCATTGCCAGTGGAACAGTTTGGGTGGATATGAAGCAACTGGGAGTGGATGTGCTGATTTCGGCGCCGCAAAAGGTGCGTCTTGTTGAGCAACGGGAGCTAATTGACGCTTGGATACACCTAAAGGACGAGTATGCGCAAGAGAATAGACTACGATGCATTTGAGTAATATATCCTACTCACTCAACTCACTTTTCATCCCTCATGTTTGCCAGGGCTGGACCGGTCCTCCATGTGCCGCACTCGTCCAATTGTCGGAAGCTGCCTCCGACCACATGCTCGCGAACAACAAGGATACAAGCTTCAGTTTGAGCCTCAAGCGATGGGGCGCAATCATGGACACATATGAAAAGGGCGGTTTTGGATACCACACGACAATGCCGACAGATGCACTCAGGGACTTTCACGAAATTTCCGTCGAAACATTAAAGTTTGGATTGCCAGAGCTCAAGGCTGCTCAGCTAGAAATGGGTACCAAGGCTCGGACAGCCATGGAAGCCAAGGGGCTTGTGAGTGTGGCGGCGCCTGGTTTTCAAGCTCCTGGAGTCTTGGTATACTATTCGCCAGATGGCGTCGAGAATCCCTTCATGATGCAAGCATTCAAGGGTCAAGGTCTGCAGGTGGCCATGGGAGTACCATGGCGTATTGATGAACCAGCCGGCTTGAAAACGTTTCGCATTGGTCTTTTTGGCTTGGATAAACTCGGGAACGTTGATCGAACGGTTCAGATTATGGAACAGGCGCTTGACCAGGTGCTGGACGAGACCGGAAACGCCAAAAAGGCGGCGTAGAAGTTATCATCTCCTGAATACCTTTAAAGGCAATTACATATGACATAACCGGCGTTTTATAATCCAGTTTAATTGTAGTCATAGTCAAAGGTCGCGTTAATTGCTGCATCCTCGTGTTCGCCTTCGTCCTCGTGGTCGTCTTCCCGAACTATGAACGAGATCTTCTTATTTTCGCGAAGCCATGTGCCTATCAAGAAACTGCCATTGAAAAACGAGCCCCAGAGTCCAAAATATGCTTTCAAACGATAGCACGCCAGACTGAGTGTGAGTCAATGCCAATAAAAGCAGTATGCCACCACACACAATGTAACAGCACTTACCATTCGACAAGCCGTTGATCGGTCCATCGACTCCAGTATATACTAGCAACACGTAAAACTTGCCGGCCAATGTCAACGTCATGAGCAGTCCTTCTATTTGGCGCCACCCATACACACAACGATACACCTGGTTGCGTCGTCGACACCGACACGGCAGTCGATAAGGTTTATACAGCCACTCGTTCAAAAATACCGACACAAAGCACAAAACCACTTCTGCCCAGACAGCTGCCAATATAATAATCCAAATTTGTTCATCAATGATCAGTTTGGCTCCCTGATACAACAGCTTGAGCGCGGAGCGATTGTAGTACATGTCAGTGACGGCGCCGGCAAAAACGGTGGAGCAAATCCCCGTCCATGCCCAGTTGCTCGTGGTGGCGCGATGATGAGGTCGATCCAAAAAGCGACCAATGAGACGAAACCTTCCGCGACTGCTGGTTGGAATGGTATGCGCCTGCATGGGCTTGCTGCTATTGTTGTTGCTTCCAGCAGCATTCGACGTGTTTGTCAGCTTGACCATGGCCGCCGACTCTCTCCAAATCTCCAAGCAACTGACACTACTTCCAAAAGCCAACCAAGCAGTGAAAAATACGTTGGCTTGCACCTGTCCGACGCTAAAACTCGACGTACAAACGTGAATGTTGACGGCCCAATAAAACACCAAAAACACAATCCAACCTCCCTCCCACCGACTGCCGTCTCGGAAGATGCAGTTCCACACTTTGGGAAATACCATGGTGTCAAAGTGCACCAAGACGGTCAAGAGCGTCAGCACGCAACCAACCGCGGACAGAAACAAGGCACCCACGAGCTTGTAGCGATAGATGAAATCGGTGGATGACTGGATCAACACGTATTTGTTTTTGGGATTAATCATGGTGTCGTAAATGTCGAGAGACTCTTGCTTGCGGTAGAATCTTTAGATAGAGTGTGAGATAAAGGTAACAGTGAGACAATAGGAATCAACAAGTATACAAGAATTTATACATGCCGCTGCCCATAAATACTCACTGTACAATGGAAACAAACATGACGGCCGCGGCAATGCTGCAAAACAAGTATCCCAGCAGCCGGGGCGACGCTCGAATGTCGTTGGAGGAGAGTCGCAAATTGGTGGGGCTGCTCAGATCCAGCAAGTCGTGCTCATTTTCGTCGTTTTGATTGTTATTTTCTTGATTGTCGATTTGATTGTCGCCGCGTCCCTCGGCTCGCTTGTCGGTCACGCGCTCGCGCAGTATGGATGATCGATGGTAGACGCTGCTGCGGCGAATGCTTCTTCTTGATGATGAACTTGCATTTCCTGTTGGAGTCATATTTGGCGTAGAAGGTGAACCATTGTTCGTTACTGTAATAGCCGCACCTGCATCTGGCAACGGAGCTGTTTGTGCACTCGCCGGCTGCAGTCGAGACGACGACGATGGAGCGGGAGTCTTGCGCGGCTTGAGCGTTATTCGCGTCGGCATACTTTCTCTTGTATCAGTAACAGATGGGTCTCAGAAAAAGAGAGATATATGCCAGCCGCTTACTGTAACAAGTAGAAGCAAGCTGCGAATGTGATCATGCGAAAAAGAAATCCGCGACTCAAAACCTGTGCGACAAAGTGTGACAGCTTTTCACGATTGCGAAAGGAAGCTCGCGCCCTTGCGCCAGTCGTTGGAAAGGCTGCTGATGCTGCTTGCAACTCTTCGATATATATACACACATTCTACTTGGCATCATCCTACTGTCGAAGCTGATATAAATCAATAGAAGCATAACTTGCAGCAACAAGCTTTTGAGAAGATAGTCTTGCTGGGTCCCTTCTCAATTTCGCATCGAGTACGCCCGACTCTTGCGGAGTGATTGCGACGGAATCTTGCTGTTCATCTTGTCTACATAGTCTGCAGAACATGTCTTTCAATGCAAGGCAGAAGCAGAAGAAGAATTTGCTAGCAAATGCTCATGCTTTGGCTAGTGAATCTGCCGACGCTGCAAAGCGGACGCCGACTGCTCCTGTAACGCCTGATCAAGTGCAGCTACAGTCCTTTCGAGCCATGGCCTTTGGACGCGACTACTATCATTGCATTGGCAGCGGCATGCGCAAAACTTACTATCATGTTAGCGACAATGATGATGGTGCGCCGGCGTTGCTGCAGGCTGAGAGAGACGACGAGCAGCATGATGATGAGTGTTACGCAGCATCTGAAGACAATGTTTCCAAAGAGAAGCAGCAAAATGGTAGTAGATCCACTTCTACTGCAAGACTTGCGTGTTACACCTCCTGGGAATCTGGCAGCAGCAATACACTAGCTGCATGCTGGTCCAAGCAGGATACGGACGATTCGCTGGCAAGCATTGCCTGCACGGCCCAATCCACCATATTCCTGACAAAAGCCGGTCACTTGTATCAAACTGGCATGCTGCATGGTCGTTTGCATGCGACACCGCAACTGGTGAGTCTGCACGTTCCACTCAAGTGCGTCCAAGTGGCGGCGGGCCGGCACTTTGTGCTGGGGCGATTGGAGGGTGGCCGCGCCGTGGTTTCCTTTGGGGCGGGACATTTCGGACAGCTTGGTGTCGTCGTTGCTTCCAGTCGGCGCGGCAATCGCAAATCGAAATCGGAGACGGAGGAGTTGGATGACGATGACGACGATGATGATGACATTGCTTCAA